TCAACTCAACCCTAAACCCAATCAATATATATATATATATGGCATATGTATATATATATATAAGTATATATATATATGTATGTATATATATATATAGGGTTTAGGGTTTAGTCTAGGGCTTAGGGTTTGGGGAAAAAGAAAAAGAATATATCCTAAACCCTTCGGGGTCTGCCTGGATGAGCTTTCTCTCGACCACCTGGCATGCAAGAGCTGTGCCCTGCCCGGGGAAAGCCGGGGCCCCCATGGGTCCTAGCCTACATCAGCAAACCATTCTGTTTTTGGGTTTCGGGTTTTTAGGGTTTTGGGTTTTCGGGGTTTGGGATTTTAGGGTTTTGGGTTGCTAACCCAGAACGGAAGTGGACTAAATATTGCAATCTGGCTGCAGAGATACACTAGAGTCGATGAGAGAATAGTGATACACGGATGATGGATTTCGGCCATGGTCGTCTGACCTCGGCTACTGAAGTCGCCGTATGATTGTATCACCGTATGTGTGTTGCTTGTCATTGCATCATGGGTGGGCTCAGTTATTTGGGTAGGAACGAACTCAGGTTTAGAACCCAGTGTCAGCAGCAAGCAAACCTAGTTGACGACTTGGCACCTTAGACTCATTGGCGCCTTGATGTAGGGACCTAAATAACTACCAATACCATTTTGGGGGCTCCCTTATCTTTATTCTGTAATATACGCTAAAACCATACTCAAATCGATCAAGGCCCCTGTAACTAAGCATTGAACTGGTAGGAGTTCTTTGTTGTTTGTTGAAGCAATCTCCCAACCCCCTTTTCTCTCGCGAACTCATCAGCAGAGCTGCTACCACATGTATATATGTACAACAGGCTACCCACTCTACCATGCACCATCGCTGATGTAAGTGCTTGTCGCGTCTTTCTGTTGCTGTTTTTGCCGATACTTTTGTGTTCATGGCACGGTGCCATGAACTCTTAGCCTGAAGCCCTCACCCAACACCAAAGGGCGAATACTGAAAAGACCAAGGTCTCGAATTGAAGAGTCAGGAACTTCAAGTACGGCTGATGCTACAAATCCTGCAGTACCCATAAAAAGGGAGATACCATATATAACTCCCATAGCTTAGGGTCCTTAGGGTCCTTGCTAAGGATTTATAATCTTCAACCCACGGTCCCCGGAGAGCCCTGCCATAGTCGGCCTTCACTGGCCCTTCGTGGTGGCGAAGCTTGCTCAGCGGCACATTCTCCTGCACACCCCCCACAGCCCACATCCGAGGGCATGCAAGCACGGACCCTAAACCCCAAACCCTAAACCCCTAAACCCCTAAAACCCCTAAACCCCTAAAACCCTAAACCCCTAAACCCTAAACCAACAAAGTTGGAATGTTGAGAAGCCTGGCGGCCGTTGCTCTGGTGGGCGGGACGATAGCATTGCTTCGACAAAATCTATATCACGACAGTTCCCGTGGTCCTACCGGTGGGATTTTTAGGGTTTAGGGTTTAGGGTCCATTGGGCAACACTGTTGACGTAGAAAAAGGATGAAACTTGTGGAAGCTTCAAGCGGGGCACACCTTGGAATCCCCTGTCATGACGGGACTCCGACCTTCGCGTTCCTGAGCTACGGCTGATGATACAAGTCCTGCATTATGCCATACAGTAATAAGGAATATACGATAATTCCCGTAGTTTAGGGTCCTCGTGGTAATGCAGGATGTATATCACCAACAGTACTAACAAATGGGGGCTGTGGCGGGCGGGCGACAGGTTACCGGGCTCCAAGGCTTTTTCGCCAATCGAGGATTGAAAGCTGGGTTTAACTTGGAGGCAGTGGCCTTCAGAAACTCGTCGTCTACATGGGCGCTTTCTAACTGAGTGTATGCGTTTTTGTTACACTACATGGCGCTACTTGGAGTACATCGCATTATCGTAATATTGCTGCATTCATAATATTATATGGTCGAAAAAACTCAGAACCCTACATCCCCACCCGAGTGCTCCTCTCGGAAGTAGCCACGGCTACCAAAAGCCAGTAGATCTGGATACAGAATGGTCGCACCTGGTAATATAGGGGACCAGGTAATACATAGAGTAGGGGTTTGAGGTATATTCTACGATATTTATAAGTGGATGAGGACGACACGCACGGAGCGGGAAGCTCTACGATGCGGTGTGTACAGATTGCCTTCACATGGCACTCTTCTCTGTACTTCTGCCCGATACGCACAAAACTTACGTCTTCCAATCTAACTCCTCAATCACTCCTGCTTACGCCTGCAGCAGTCTGTCCGGCATCGGAAGGAAACATCTGGCGGGTACTTCGAACGTCAGCCAAGCACATCCCAACCGGTGTACGGCTTCTCCACCACTAGCCGGTGCAACAAGAATCCTCTACTACTCCCATTATTGGAAAGCGGTATCGGCAGAGGCTTAGAATCAGTAAGCTATGTGGCAGTGGAGAAAAGTCGTTCTGGTGTCCAAAGCTCTGCATGCTGCATCAACAAGCGACCTTGAACTACATAAGCATGACAGATCATTATAGCGAACTAGAAATTACGCAAGAGCGACCGATTAATACATATATATATATGTATATATTAGGTAAGTAGAGTTTCAGAGCCGCTTGAAACGAAGGAGCTGCGTGGGGCGACAGAGCCGCCCGTGTTGTAACAAGCACGGCTCAGGGAACACTGTAGACCTTCAGCTATTGCTTAGGGTTTAGGGTTTAGGGAACCCTAAACTCAAAA